ACGGGCACCGGTTATATTCGCCAAAATATGAGAGTAACTTACAGTCTTGTTCATCACTGTGATCATTTTCAGCGCAGTTGTGAATACCGTTACAAGTAAGCGATTTATCGATGCATAATTGACTTCGGCTGGCGCAAATATTCTGGCCATTATCGATGCATAACTCGCCACCTTTGCATGCAAAGCCCTGCAATTTCTGATGTTGTTTTGTTGTAATTATTAGCAAATTTTGCGTACAATTTGGACTTTAAGAAAAAAAAAAAAACAAAGGTGTTTGTCTCATTTTGATAATCGCAGATTACAGTGATAGAAAACCTCTGCTTTTCACATTCAAGGTGGTAAAGCCCTCTGCTCCTTCAGTGATCTATTCATTCATTTCGATGGTAAATTGGTAATCGCGCATATTTGGAAGTTGAACCCGCCATTAGCTCAATCGATTCTATCAGTGGTTGATTAATGCTGGCATGTGCGACTACTACCTGAGCCACTTCTGAGTGCCTCCGTCTCTCAGAGACAATGGTTACGGTAGACATATGACTTTTGATTGGTCAGCAGTGGTGAGTAACAACTGTCTACAGTAAAATGTTAATTCAATGAGCCGAAAAGTCTCATTCATTTACAATCTTTTTGTAATCCATTTTAATAGAAAATTGATACTGGTGCATGCCGAGAAGACAAAACCGCCGCCAGCCCTGCTTCATAAGCAACTACTGGAAGAGAGAGAGAGAGGGATCCGTTAATAAGTGGTGCTATTTGCAATTTTCAGCCGTTTTGGGCATTTCTGAGTACTTTTACAATAAACGTTTTTTAATCACCTGTGATGGTATATTTGCTCAAAGTTTCAGGAAAAAAGTAAGATAGAATTTTACTCCAAATCTGAAATCATAAGGAAGTCAGCCTGAGAGCGAGTAAAGAGAAAAGACTGAAGAAAAGTAAAGAAAGAGTTAGGAGTTTTTTCAAAAAAAGAGGTAGCGTTCTCCTCTAGACGTAAATCATTATAATTAGTAAGCAAAAATGTACCGGGCATACTTGTCCATCGGAAGGCTGGTCGTCAACTTCAGTCCAGACGAGGCGAAAACCAATCGGTTTGCCTTCGTCCTCGTACTTCGCGAGCAGCGACGGACTAGGACTATCCTTGGTCACGAATCTGCAATTCCCGCATTAACTGAATGGACTTTTTCGATTAATGAAATCCCTTTATTACCAGGATAATCGTGATTTTCCAGTAGATGCAATGAAAAACTGGCTCTGGTGTGATCAACAAACACCACATTATCCGCGGGATGCGGAGCCGTTGAAATCTTTGTTAAAACGCTATTTTCCTGCTTCCCCTACGAAAAAGACATGCAAAAGAATTCTGATTTCAAATTTCTCACTTTCTTTGGGAAGACAAAATGTAGCATGGCATGGCATGTAATCTTCATGCTCACTCGTTATCAGTGGTATAATGCTGGGCTTTAAAGCGGAATATCTACATAATTTGTATGTAGATATTCCGAGCAAATTTATTGAGTTGCTGAGCAAATTTTAAAAAAATATCAAAAATTCCCCGCAATCAAAGAGCCGAAATCGCTTGCTTCCAAGTAACGCTCCAAAGAGAAAGCCATTTTCAGCCACTGCAGCAGGTGGCCGCTGTTGGCATATGCTATCATTCGGGGAACTTTACGCTTCTCCACTAATAATGCCAACTCTTCGTTTTCCTGCTTTTTGCCCGAGTTCTTATCAACCTTTTATATTTTTTAGAAATACTTAGAAAAATCAAGGTGGAGATCGCACTTGTTTCTTCCTTTTGCATACATTCTCTGTGAGTGGGTGTAGCCCAACTGCAAGCCTTTTCCAACAACAACTATCCTCCATAGGAAAATTTTTGATGAATCTAAACTTTAAGCACGCAAGTCGTTCAGTCATCCTCTTTTATTTTTAAGCTGATTTTAGCATGATTGTAGCTTACAAGTAATATTAAAAATTTAAACAGGGCAGAACGGAATGAATTATGTATTGATGGATATAGGAAGAAAGCTGGTATGGGAAAAATAAGCAAGAAAGGGTTAAAAGACGTTTCGGTCCATTAAGCCATATACGTCTTAACACCACGACTGGACCTCGTCACTATGACGGTCGTGGTATTAATTTGCGCACTGATGTGATAAGCAAAGGCCTCTAAGTATCAGATTAACAAAACGACTCACTTAACGATAAGGCGATTGCCAGTGGACATATATGATTTCATGCCTTCCTCGGTGTAGTATAGCTGGCTGCCGCAAAACTTCACCTGGCTTCCCTCATCCTTCCTCATTAAATCAGGCGACTCGTAGCGATAACCGTCAATTACATACAATGATGCCCTCTCGCATTCCGCTGCAAAATATTCCACTTAACAACACTGTATAAATTTATTCAGTGAATTTTTATAATTAAAAACATTAAAGCTGTCCTGGACAACGGAAAGAAGGCAAGAACTGGCTGCGTTATCGTTTATGGACCGTTCACTATAAAAACAACTAACTATTTAAAAGTCAAACTGTGATGGCCCTCAAATTTAGGTCATTAAGCCTGAAATGAATCTGAAAGCAACCACAGGCGGATCCAGCGGGAGTTATCTCTCGCACCTCCCCTCCCCCCAACCTCTCCCCTTTTTCCCGCCTCACAGCGGCACAGGCTGCAAAAGCCGGGTCTGTTCATAAATAAAACTAAAGTAACTCTAAGTAACTCTAAGTAGCAGTGTGTTACAACTCTATTCCTAGTTTTTGCATAGTTCCAAGGTGGAAGGGAGGAAAAAGCCTGGAAGAGAAGCTCCATCGTTAGCATTGATAGGTAGATGTGATAGACTATTTCCTGTGTGCTTTTGTCTCTTTCGAACAAAGTGAATTGCGAAGGGGTTTTAACTCTTGATTTGACCAGTGATAGTTTATATAACATAGTAGTGACTGCTCATGGAATCGCTCTCTTTTCATCTTCATGGGATTAGAACTGGTGGCAACCACTCATCCGAAGGAGGCATTATAAACAGTCAGCTGGGAATTACCTGAAAACAAGAACCTGGACCGATAAGCTTAAGTAGTTAGTTGCAAAACACACGAGCACACACAGTGACTTTGACAATTTTACTGCGAGGAGGTAAAATGGGAAAAGGCGAATATGAATTATTTTGGTCAGAAAATACAGATTTTTGAAGGTACATGCTGCAAATGTACAAATGTTAATGTTAGAGAATAAAGACTTTACAGAACTGTGAATAAAGAGAATGGAACGAACCCATAGTTGGC